TTTTTCATAACTAATATTAAAATTTCTATAAGCGGCATTCAGAGGGTTGCATTTTATGTAGCTTCTACTTGTATGCTACAATTCGAAAAATTCATCCTGCTGCTTTTCCAGTCGTTTCAGCGACTTTTGCACATGTCTCGTTTGTGTAGTATTCAGTAGCTGAGCTGTGTCCGAAGTGCTGCCTGAAGAGCTGTGACGCTGATGGTTTTGATGATTCGTTTTATATGAATGGTTTAGGTGATTGTTACGTCTGTGCTGTACGAAATCGGTGGTAACGAACAAATCGTTGGCACTCTGGCTAGTAATCATCCTGCAATTAAAAATGACCTTTATTTTAGCAAGTCCAGCGCCAAAGGAAAATTGTGATACCAGTGTATCAAAAATTTACTATGTATAATTGATTGGATTTTTGTAAACCCAATGTTCAAACTTGATTATAAATTTTTTTAGTATAGGGATGCAAAAAAACTGTACTTGGGAAGAGTTAGAATAAACCAAGACGTTAACTACTTGGACTTCGACTCATTTAAACCACATTCACCACAAAATATTACGCAAATTTTACATTTAATATCTGATATATGAACCGCATGGGAAATCTAAACAAAACTACAAGCCATTTTTTGTGGCACTATTTTTAGCTCAAAATTTGAAATAGCATACTTTTAGGATTACTTCGCCTTCCTGTACTCTTTACCTCAAATCATCATGCGAATGTCGATTGCCAATTTGTATTACTCAAACAGAATATCAAATCTAAATGAAAAACAATAAACTTTCAGTATTTTGCATCACTACTAAAAAAGTGTTTAAAAATTCCAAACATGTAATTACAAAACTCACTCTTTAGACCTTTCCACATATTTTCGCGATTCTGATATGGTTGAATCGATTTTACTTAAAAACTCATTTATGCATTTACGATTTTCCTCGTCAGGCGTCATGGCCACCACAGAGTCTAACGATTTACTCTGTTTATTAGTACTGCTGCTGTGATTGTTCATCGTTACATCATCGTCGCTGTTTTGCACTAATAATTCACCGGCAATTGAATATGGACGAGCTGGCAGCGTGGATGGACGTGGATTATTTGTTGAATTACTAGTTGATGCGGCGAATACACCAAGCGGATCCGCAGCTGAGATCGCTGGTACATCTGTTGCATTCACATTATTTACGGCATTTTCTGTGTTTTTGTTGTTTTGTAGTTCAGTGTTGTTGGAACTAATTTCCAGTGGATTATTTTCATCTATTTTCGGGTAATATGGCGACGACTTATCCACTGGAATTAATAAAAATTGACGCAAAAACAAGCTGTCCGAAGCAAAAAGGCGATTGGCGCGTCGTATTTGCTCTGTCTGTAGATTGGAGAAAATTACAAGCCAACGATTGATTACTTAGCGTACACACTAATTTATATACTGCATAAATCAACAAAGACGCATATATGTACATATGTATATGCACATATACATACATACACATACACATTAATTTATTTAAACAATAATTTGTTTTAAATTTGTGATTCAAAACGATTTGAAATGATTGTCCATATGTGGTTAATACAAATTACAGATTCATATATGTATAAATGACGATGATTGATCGATCAATAGATCGATGACCTTAGATATTCCTTTTATAGTATAGTATAGTATGAACATGCATGATTTGTACGATGTTACAGAGAATAAATGTAATTCATTAAAAATTATTTCATGAAAAAGTAAGAAATTATTTATGTGTCCATCCATTACTAGGCGCTCGGCCTGCTAATGTTATAGCATTCAAAAGTATTTTTTGGATGATAAGCACGCAATGATTTTAACAAAATTAATTTTCAATTAAAATGTAATTAAGTAAAATAAATTTAAACTTTAGTAACCTGCCCTCTGGAAATATTAAAATAACCATTGCTTATTACATACTACCCACAACTTTGGCTGAAATATAATATGCACATTAGGGTGGGTTGAAAAAAAATAATTTTCCTTAAATCTTTTTATAATAGTGAAAATATATATTTTTTTATTAGATCAGTTATAGCCTGAAAAATATTATTCACATATTTTAACTATCACAAGGTTCTAGGTCGAATAAGACGGATTTTTAGTACAAATTTACGGTTTGGGAAAACGGTTTGGCAGTTTTATTGGAAAATAAATCCGAGAACTCAAATCACATATGTACACTAGGCCACAAATGAAAGAGTATACGTTGTTCTAATATAATATTCTCAATTATTTTATTGCATTATTTATTAATGAAAATATAGCTCAAAGTTTCACGCTATATGTAAACTTCACAAAAATTCAAAAAAATTTCATCCAAATTTTTAGCTTTCTATTTGGAATTTCTACAAAATTTTCGAGTATGCAGTTTTGTAGCCCAATACAATACAAAAAGTTGACCAGCCTTCTCAAGAATCAAAGCTTGTTGGGTTTTTTCCAACTTGAAAACCATTTTAAAGAGAGTTCGTCAACTATTGTTGGAAAATTGTTATTTTGTATCATTATTCTATTATATTTTATTATGCGTCTACCAATTTGTGACTGATGATGTATACAAGAGAAACCAGTTCGGTTAGGAGTACTGATAAGAAATTTATTTATCTATGCCATATTAGACTTGGCATAAAGTAAATAGAGCACATCGTCGCTTACCGCGAAATACCTCGTATCTGACAGATGCAATACAAAGTATTAGGTGGCATAGAACAAAGCTTATTTTGGTTATTCTGCCTCAATGCTGGAAGCACATATTTGGTAAGTTCAGTTAGAAAACAAATCAAAAATTTTGAAGAAAATAAGTTTATTAGTTTTATTGGGAAATTTTCAGACTGCTTAATACTTGGTATTGCATTTGGCGTATGCGAGGTATTGCGCGACAAGCGACGATATGAATTTAGAGATAAAAAACGCAGACACTTTCGTTGCGTAGCAACATTTACATATTGTTTAATCAAACGAAAGCATGCGACAGGCTCGGCATGATGAAAGTGCACACTTAAACTAAATACATATGTATATGTCTGTCAAACTTATCTTATTTAACTTTACAAAGACTTATTTTATATAGAATGTAAGTGCATTAGGGTGTGTCACACTTGTTTTTAGCGGTAAAGTATATGGGTAGAGTCACAAATTGTGGTGCTGGTAGATGGAACTTTATGTAGGGGTTCCGCAAGAATTTAATATTTAATGCTTTATTGAACCGATCGTAAAAAAACATTGACGTTAATACTCGTTACAAGTGCGAGAAGCTGAGTATTTTGAAAAATTTTGGTCCGCCTTAACGTACCTATGTATGTACATACAGTATCGGTCATATCATTAGCATCACCATTTAATTTTTTTTTGTCGCTTCCATATAACGAATAAAGAAACATTATTTTTATAAGGAAGAAAACCCCAACACCTTCGGCAAAAACAAAACTAAAAAATCAACCATTTAGCCATTTGAAACTTGCACTAAAATTGAATGGCCTATAAAACTGTATACTCAAAAAAAAATCTAACACTTCTGAGAAAAAAGTTTGAAATTTGGATGAAA